GAAGGACCTCCCTAAGTGCAAGCTGATGTTCATGTAATTCGTCAGAGTCAAATTTTAATTTCTGAAAAGTTCTTGCAGGCGGAAGATGATAGTGAAAAATGGCCTAAATTAGTGATCAAGCTCTCACCAAAGCACCGAAAACTCTTCTTCAAGAATTCAAAGAAAGCTTTGAGGAACGTAAAAAGGAAAATCATAGTTTCATGTGCTGCAGAAATGATGGACATACTTGTCGCTTGAACCAGTCGGCCGTTTCAAAAATGCTCAAAGGTGAGTATATGCCAAAAGAGGGAGAGAAGACTGTTAGACGTTGTTTAATGAGCGAAAAACGAAACAGGCATATACAGAAGGCAGGAGAGGACCGTTGAGACAGCAATAATGAGTTTAAGAGTAGTAAGTAGGTGGACACGTATAGTATTATCATGTGAGCGGATTTTATTAAGGTAGTGGATACATTTTTACTGTGAATAGAAATTATTCTTGTGCGACACAAATATCCGATTATTTTGTCGGAATAATGCACGATTATTCATATTAATATTAATATATTAATATAGAAATAATCACGTGTCCGTAAATTTTTGATGGCAGTGCTGGGGAAAATCAAAAGCACAGTGCGTTATTTCAAAGCATTTGATTAGTCCGCTGTTTTTATTTTTGGCCAATTTATCTGTAACGCCGTGTCTATACAAATGTAAGTTATAAATAAACCATCACAATTGGACACTTAGAAACCCTTTCAAATGTTTAAAATTTGAAACTTTTTAGACAATTAAAGTTTTTAAACTGTAACTGTTCTACTATTTCACGGATTAGTTTTTCCTACAGTCTCTATCTTAGGGTTTAAAGTTAAATAAATTATAGATTTACGCTCGGAGTCGTATAAACAAATCCATTATTTCTGCACCCAAGTGTACACCAAAAATAAGCAATAGCACATAAAAATAGTATATCTATCCTCAACAAAGTTTAATATATCTCGAGCAAGTTGCATGTAGTCTCTTCCACACTTTACATAATTAACGAATAGATAATAGTTGTTTTAGTTAATAACAGCTTTCATAATAACTCAGAACTCGTAGCGTTTGTCTTGTTTGCATTGTTGGAAAACGTAAAAGTATCTGTATGCTGTGAGTGAAGACAACGAATAGAGGGTTCACTGTAGTTGTTCGTGCTGGAAAACTCGAATAGTTAACTCGTTCTTCATTAATTTTAACGTATCAGTATTTACCGGTTTGCGTAATCGTGGATACAGTCAAGACAGTTAATATTCGAAGGCAAATGGCTCGACTAGGAGGTTGGCAAGATGTTCTACCGGGAGGTTGATAGCAATAAATATTATTGGAGTCAATACTATTCATGTTTACGTTTAATTTAATGGAAGAATTTCTGGATAGGTCCATTTGGGTCCGTATCATTTCACCGAAAATTATTTCACCGACGTAATATTTCACCGACAACCATTTAGCCGAAAATCATTTC